TTGATTCTCCATTATAGGGGGAATAGGATCCCTGAAGGCCCCATCTGGAGACTTGAGCAGCCCCCCCATTCATATGAAACTCCTTGAGGGGGGTTGATATGGGGTGGGGGATTATATAGGGGAATATTANNATGAAGGGGGATACTAAGCGTCTAGACAATGGTTCAAATGGTATGTTTTCATTTTTGCGCCAGATGATCCCTTACCTGTGCGAAAAATAAACTCCCAATGCACCCGGCAGGAGCTTGTAGAGCCTTACTGAAGCTTACTTCCCTATTTCACAGACTGATGATCTGATGGTCCCTTTGAATTGCCTTCCTGTTTGATGCAGGGAATATGTAGGGATCCTTGTCATGAGGTATGGGGACCGGTTTCAGGTTATATTGGGAACAGTGAAAAGACCGATTTTCCAGGTGGTTCTGCTTCGGCCTGCCCGGGTCCCGTGGACTGCTCCGCTGGGGCCTTGGGCCTGCGTAGTGCTGTCGAGATTCTTCTGCTCCAGCACTGCAGCACTGTCAAAATTCAAGATCCTTCTCCATGTTCATCTTCTCCTTGGTCCATCAGTTCCAATTTATGGGTGTGAGTCCTGTTAGCAGCTAATTATCATCGTGTTCAGCATGTGGATGGCCGTGCTTTTTCTGGTGGTGTCCTATTGTCATGATGATCCTCAACAATTGCTGATGTAGGTATGACTCATCATGATTGCATGCATGATTTTCAGATGTCCAATTTGCAAATGCTCATCCTTTGCAACATGCCTCTGTGTTTGCATGTCTGCAGGCCTTGAAGGTGGTGGCCAAGGACTACAAGGCCTGTACCTGTCGTGGCAGGCTGCGGAAGCCAGAGCGAGCCATCCGGGCATGCACCTTGCAGTGCCATGCGGGTATTTGCAAAACTAAGTAAGGTCTTACTACATGCGCCCAAACATTATAGTTCCTTCTATTACAAGTACGACACACGCTAATTTCTTAGGATCCTAAACCCTAAGCCCTAAATCAAAAACCTGAAACCGCATGTGGTGGTCGCCAAGCAAGAAAACCTCCCAAAGCTTCACAGACCTTCAGGAAGCGGCCCTGGCCATGCAAGGTTAGCTCAACCCCTCCTGTGTGATTACTATTTTCCATTTTTTCAACTTGATTTGGTGTTATTACTGATTAGTACTGTTACTGCTATTGCTAACATCTAAGTCACTGTCAGGTAGGAGGACACTCAAGCTAGGACTGGATGATGGCTGCCCTGTTACGTAGTAGAAAAAATGCCCTGGTGTTACGTAAGATGCCCAGTGTAGCTCCAGTGTCGTTCCAAATCAATCCTTACCGCGCATGAGCATGCCTTGTATTTCGGCGGAGCGCTCGACCCTAAATCTGAATCTAACCACACAAATCTCAAATCATGAATGCAAAAGCTCCAACAAGTCCAAGACGTTGGGCTCTAAATCCACCTAGCTCGGTCTTTCAGGGCCTGCTTGCGCAGCCGGCAGAGCCCAAGTTCAAGGGTGCGCTCTGCCAGCCACTGGATTGCAAGACGTGTGCGGTGGTTCATACTTCGTGGATTTCTCAAACTATGGGAGGATCAGGTGATTCTATAGTGAAAGGGTTAATTGAAATATATGATGAAGCAACCTTGCTTGGTTGGCTTCCGTTTCGCAAGGCGTCACTCAGCTGAGACTCCCTCAAATTGTGTCTTCTGGAGCCCCCCAAGCAGCAAGATATCTAGACAGCATTCAGGATCTCTCTTCTGCCTATGACTTCAGCGCTTGCGTGCATTTGACGAAGGATCTTTGTCCGCAGTGCTCCATACGGCGGCTCTGACAAGAGCAACAACGGCCACCGTGGCTCGGTATCACTTTCGGAGCCTTCAGCCTCATACCAGCACGCCATCAGTTTCTGCCATAAGTGCAGTGTTACCCAAATTAGGCTTCTTACGTGTTCCTTAGAACCAGGGTCGCGTTAAGAATGGTACGCGCGTGCAGCTGTGGAAGCATGGAGGCCTTGCCAAGTTGTGATAGACTTTGCAGGCTACGACTCCATTCCATTTGCCAATGGCATGATCACTTCTGGGATGAGCTGCCAGTGCTGCCCTCAAAAAGGGATGATAGATACAGTGGCAGCCCAGAACTCATGCAGTGCCTGTGGGCCGCAAACCTGAGTAAGGTTGATCCACTACACCCATGAGGAGCACGACAAGTTCTTCGAGGTGTGCAAGGCATTCAACTTCATCATTGTCCGGCACACAGAATTGACCAGACAAAACACCAGTCCGGCAACTTTGTGAGACATTTTCTCAGCTGGAGACCCTCTAAAGTGACTTTTTTGGACACCGGCTCATAGTATCTGAGGTCCGCTGCAACCCTGGCCAGATCAAGGCCTGCCCAGGTGTCCAAGCAAAGGTAAATGTCTACCAGCTCAGGCAAGTTTCAAACATCCAAGACGCAATCCAGTTCGGGCCGGGGTGGGGATCTTGTGGCTATTGGCAGGCCGATGGTGGTGATCAGCAGAAGTTCGATGAACCTTAGCAGCAGGATGTCGGAAAGGATTCCTGTTCTAGGCTGGGNNGCCGGCTAAACTTGTGTGATCCAACCCTTTTTTCTTGGATTCGGCGGCGCGTGGTCCGTGTGGAGGGGCTGGTTCAGAAGAACAAGAGCAACAAGATATGCTGGAAGATGTGGTAAGCAAGCTCTGAGTTGCGAAGTCCCTTCATCCTTACAGTCCTCAAGTCCAATGCACAACAAGCCTGCAGACCAGGGAGGTCCCTTTACCAGCCAAGGACGGCATGCGGGCCTTGCGTGGTACGGGTATCCAGGCGGCTTGCCTGAATGGCAGAGCTGCTCATTCGATGTGGGCTCGTTCCTAGGGCTTGCTAGCTGACATTAAACCATTTGATCTTGCCGGCAGTGCTTCTCAGCAATCAACATCTGAGTATTGAGCTTTTTCCGAAGTGCTAGTGCCGGTAAAGCTGTGAAGCACTCCGACCTGTGTTTTGCAGCAATACTAAGGTGTGGCCTTCTCCAGACGTCATGGAGAAGATGGGGGCCAAGGATGCGCTGTGCAAGGCCCACTTTCAAGACGCCACACAAAACAGCAAGGCATTTTGACTTCTCTGCTCACGTGGGCTTGGAGTATTGGTGTTAGTCACCGCACAGCAGCCAGGCTTTTTCTCCTAACAGGCTTTTCCCCCCGCCTGTATAGATGCGGGACTTGCGGAGTTTCCGTTTCCTGCAGGCACCTTCTTGACCGCCAGGTGGCAACGCTCAACATTGGCCTTGAAGACACGCTGGCGACGGGAGCTCAGAAGCAGTGCGCAGGAAACCACACGTGTACCGTCGAATCTGAGCAGGTGGTGTTGCACAGCCATATGTTGCACATCTCAAGGGTTCCCTAACCAGCCCCCCTTACGGAATCCCCTAATGAGCAGGCCCCCAAAAGTAGCCTACTTGGTCCTGTAATGCTGAATGACCCATGCTTCGGGGGCGTCCTTATGGGGAGTGCTTTATGGTATCCCCAATATACTATAGTAGTTTCCATTTTCTTTTCCATTATCCCAAAATAACCGCAATATAATCCCGATATACTATAGTAGTTTCCATTTTATGTTCCATTATCCCAATGTAACCCCAACATAAATCC